AAAATAATAACTTTATCCATATTTTTTTAACAAAAAGCATAAATGAAAATTTATAAGTAAATGCTTTAATTCAGTGGCAAATATTCTTTATTATTTTTTGATAACAATTTTCCAATTACTACGCAGCGACCAACTGTTTATGACGGGTCATTAACTAGAACGTTGCAACTACGTATTCTCAATATCATGCATGTTCTTTTGTTGTTATAAACTATTAATAGTCCTTAATATTTTTTAAAGACAAATAATTGTAAACTGTCGCTTACATCAGAGACATGGATCATGCTTGCGTGATAACTAAGGAAAACTAACTTATTTGTACACCCCAGGAGGCTGTACGCGGAAAACGCTCATAAACCGCTAAATCATATAGCTGTTTAGTAAATATTTTGCATACATTTAACTAAAAATTCACTGATGGTGATGAACATATAGTTTAAAAACATTATATTCTTTAACCATTATCGCCGAAAAAAACTATTTAACTACAAAACCCCTAAGGACCTCTGACAATATTCCAGCACAATATTACATTTTACATTAGCAAAATAAAAAAAGCAATACTTATATTTTCATCTTACATAATTCATTAATCAAACTTTTAACATAAAAGTATCTTTGGTAATTGACAGATCCCTACTCTGATCTTTTATTTGTATAGGAATAAATTTAAACATGTGCTCTTTTGTTTAGGAATATTTTGTAGTGAAAGTCTTATATATTCACTAATCTCATAATTAGAATTAGACAGGTCAGGAATTTATACAAACAGTTGTTTAGTTAACTATGCTCATTTTAATCCCAATAGAAACATTCAAATATTTGTGGTAAAAAACATGACCAAAGTACCTAGTAGTCGTTTACCCCGGTGGTGATCCCATTAAACTGATTATAGATTCGAATTGATTAGAAAACACAAATAGAAACATGTGTTCCGTACAACAAAATCGGAAGTAAAGTGAACAGTTAATTGACAGAAATATGTGGTCAAATATGTTTTAACAAGGAAATAATTATTTCAGAGAAAGACGCAAAGATCAGTATGACCCCGTATTGTGTAATTAGAAAGTTTATTCAATTCTAGGGCATACATCATAATTTGATAGTCCATTTGTAATAAAATTCAAATTTCAATACAGATTATGAGATACATAAAAATATTAAAGAATAAGAAGCTTTAATTAAAAAAAAAAAAAAAAAAAAAAAAAAAAAAAAAAAAAGAAAACCGCATACATATACAAATTACTTACAGTCGAGCATCGGGAAGTCATTAACATATCTTACGAAACTTTAATTTGAAACCGATATTTGCTCGCGCTGAAGTGATAAATGTTTATTTTAAAAATTAAAAAAAAAATACTTTTATGGTTGTGTTCTAAAAATAATGGGCGGCATAAGAGGAATTTTTTTATTCATTTTACAACACTTGAAAAATTACTACAGAAAATGTGTTGTTGTTTTGTTTTCAACAAAAGTGTGTGTGTTTTAAGTTTATTTACACTCGGCGCCGGAATAACCATATGTCCGAGATTATAGCATCTGGGACGTCTTTTTCAAGCAGATTCTTCCTGGAAGCCCATTCTTCGTTCTTTGGTGGTAAAGGAGACGACAAATACCGTCAAGGCATCAACTTTCTGACTGACGACAACAAAAACGGCATCTATTAGCGCCAAACCTCCAGAGTAAGTCACGACAGGTCAACCAATCACCTCTGGTACTTATGATGACTTGACTATGACCTTCCGTGTGCCTTCTCCGCGACGTGCACGCCTCTGGAGGGATTTGGAGAAGTTTCAACAAAAACTTCCAAAAACACGCCATTTATATCACCATTCATAGCACTGACGGCTTCGATGTTCTCATCTATTTGCGGGAAATGGTCGACAGGGAAAACCCTACGTAATAACCGCACACCCTGTTAACAACAGATTTTCCGCAGTATATATTTCAAGCTAGTGAGGTTTAAAAATACACGTAGAATCTATCGATTAACTACCATAAGTTGGTTGAGTGTTGAGTGTTGGCGGTAAAAAAAGAAGATATAACTTCCTGATCAATTTTCACTTAGGTTGATTCAGTTTTGAATAAGCTTTGCAGAGATGTATTTTTTCAAGAAATATTTAGCTTTAATATTATCCGACGCCGTCAGTAATGAAATGGGATTAATTTTCTGAAACGTGATTTTAATTCGAGATTTGCTTCTGAAGAAGACAACCTTCTGTCCGTAGAGCATGAATGTTAATACTCATCACAAGACAGTATCTTATTGATCTCAATTATGGTACATCTAAACGTGTATAATTTTTATGTTCAATAAAAATGTTGCATCACTTGCAGTTGTTATTATCATTCAATAATATTTAAAAATGACATAAAATATTTATGATGAAACAGTCCTAGAATATTTTGATAAGGAACCGTCAGTTGTAAAATGTTATTGTTATCTGATAATGAACAGTCGTCATACTTGCTGGTATGTCATTTATTATGACAGTTTAGGTTTTTTCAAAATTTGCATGATTAACAGTCCGAATGTAGACCTTAATTAAATGTTCTGGAATATTAACAAAATGAATAGTCAACCTCATTAACCATATATATGAATGGTTGAACACAACAGTAAGGATAAATAGCGCAATGTGCATATCTTTTTATTTTGGTAGCATATTTTAAGCAAAAAGAAAAGAAACTATAAGTCTGAAACATTCTCTCATAGCCTCCCCATCAGTACATTCAGTGCTTTGATTAGATAACAGTCACTCATTTTTCAATGATTATGGTATTTCTGTTACATTACAATACTTGCGCGGCATTTGACCGAATAGGGAACTTGTTTCCGCTGTATTCGTCAGCTGGAAAATATTAATATGGTTATAATTGTCTTTATTCTGTCTGTTCAGTATCTACGCTCAATTGTCAGGTTATTTCGCGACCCGGATAATGGGACTGTCTTTATCTTCATAAGTTCTGCATGATATTTCAATGGTTCTTTAACTAGAATCATTGAAAATAAATGATGTTTATGTTAAGATTTAAACATCCACACATTTTAAGAGATTAAGGGAGATGAATTGTATTAAAGAAAAGATAGTTTCAAATTGTTGAAACGTCTATCCATAACAATACAATCAAGTAAAACATTTATAGTAGTGAGAGTAACACGAAAAAGTTATATTTGCAAGTTTGAGATACATAATCCAATATTTCATATCTTGATATAGCTATCACTAAGGCGTTCTAAAACAAAATATTATTATTCATCATATAAACGATAATTCTAAATCATTTGAAACTTTGTCAACTATTTTTTAAAGCAGCATTTCATAAGAATATCCAAATGAAACATTTCTTTTGTTTATATCAATACTTGAAATATTACTTGAAAATGTGCCCATTGTATACCTAACCACTTTTAGCTTTTTTCATTAGCCAATAATTCTACTTTCTTAACATTATTTCTCAATATGAACGATAAATTGTCTTGTTGTCAGCGCCAAACTGCCAATAGATTTAATCAAGCCACGGAATTAATCGAGTCCACATGTATTAATATCCTTATCTTCATCATTACGCAAATCTTTTATATTTACAGTAAAGGAAGATTTTTTCTTAAATTTAAATTTTGTTCAACAAACGTATTGCATAACCTAGCAAAGCATCCCGTTTTAGTTTGATAATCATGAAGAAAAAGATTGAACTATTCTTAAGTTATGATGTACTCGGCGTTGCAATTGTCGTTCCCGTCATCGTCCTCTAACTCGGATACAATTTTTCTTTCTGAATGGATTGCCTTTAATATTTGGACAAGACTGAACGTGACTCTGTCTTATAAATGACCTTAACATTGACGGACAAAGATTTGTTTGATTTGTGCTATTGTTGTCTATTACTTTGCTATTAATGAATGAATAATGGATTATCTTTTAACTTTGACACTTCACCAATTTTTGGACAAGATCTTCAAGTAAGTAGGCTGTCCTTTACCTTTGAGGTGAATTTTTTGCATTTTAACCGTTTTTCTATTTTAATTGGCTACAACAGTTTGACTTAAGAAATAATTGCCTTTATGCTTGAACGCAGACCATTGTGACAAAAGCTTGAAAAGAGTTAACTGAATCTGACCTAGAATGGTTTATTAACCCATTACCACATGTCTTGAGCATTTTCTGAAAAATGGCTGTTTTCATTGAAAAGTCTCGCGTTACAAGTTCAAATTGCTGTAAAACTATGAAAACGGCTTCAATACTAATCAAACTTGACAAAAATGTTGAATAGACCATTACTTTTGTAACAACATGCTCAGTCTTAAATTTCCTGTTACCATGGCAACGAGGGCACTTCTCAATGGATTGATATAAAGTAAAATGATGACCTGGGGTAATTATTAGCCTCTCACAAGTCCAAAATTTTCTTAGCGATGAGTGAGGCTGCCGCCCTCTTCAAACCCCAAAACAGAAGGAGACACATCCCCTTTCTGGCAACCCTTTGATGTATCTTTTGAATAGGGGGTGGCGCCGAAAAAGTGGTCACTTTTTAAACAACATTTCTCAAACAATACCAAGTGTTGGGAGCCTAAATTAGGCATTTTTCTCACCGTTTCAGACATCAAGGGGGGGGGGGTAAAAAAGGAGTAGAAAGGTGTATATATCTGGTAATGGGTTAAAAACCTTTAAAGTGGTTGAGTTGTTGATAAATTATTTGATGTTTTAAAAACACGCTTTGGAAGTCATCCATAATAACTGCTTGAAATGTAAAGCTTTAGTAAAGTTTTGTATTTGCGACAGTAAATGTGCATTCCCATAATTTGTGGCTATGTTATTGGCGTTGGTGTTGATTTGTTTAATAGAGATAAAATAATAGGTGATTTTAGAACTATTCTATTTCCCTATCTAAATTATTCACATCAATTACCTTCATACGCATACTTTCATGATCTTCAAGTTCATTATTTTTCTCCTGACATATTAATATATTTATAATATGTACCTGTTTACATTCAGGAACAAATATCAATATTTTGGAACTAGAATGCCTTGCTAATGGGAAAACATGTGCATGTGGCAGAGATCTTACATTATCATGTATGTTTATTAATAAAACATTTGCCATTGCTTGGATGAATCCAAACGATATATCACAAATTGCAAAGTGTGAACGTAACTATTGTACAGTAAACCCGGGATACATTGATCAATACAAGATATCATATGATGAGAAAAATCATTTCTTCAACTTGACAATTATCAAGTTAACGATGAAAGACAATCAAAGAACGTTGATATGTTCAGATGGAACCGATATGGATTCACAGAATATAAGAGTAAGAGGTAAGCAAAGTCAAATAATTTACATATCAGTCTTTCTGTTCATATTTTCTAAAAAAAAGTAGAATCTTGCAGACATTTTTAGAGAGAAATCCCCCCCCCCCCCAAAAAAAAACATTGCACCCTCTTACGCTTCGCTTTTTATGGGTAAATTTGAAAATGACTTTTCAAGCCAACGTTCTTTAATATCTAGTTTATGGGACCGTTTTCTTGACGATATATTTTGTATATGGAGTTATTCCCTTGATGATTTGAATGCTTTCATTGATAGTTTGAATAACTTTCATCCATGTATAAAATTTACAGCGAACGTTTCTAAATCTCTCGTATCATTATTTTAGATGTAATCGTTTCATTAGACGAAAACAATATTATTCACACTGATATACATGTTAAAGAGACAGATAATCATCAGTATTTAGAATACTCTTCCTGTCACCCAGTGTCTTGTAAAAATGGTATTCCGTACAGTCAAGGAAAACGTTATCGCCGTATCATTTCTGACGATAATATTTTCAACGATTCTTTACAGAATTTACGTACATACTTCAAAGAAAGAAATTATCCTATCAATGTTATTGATAATGCACGTAACGTTTCATGTCTAACACAGGATGAGGCCCTGTGTACAAATAACAAAACAAGTGATGACAGTGTTATTCCCTTTGTTATTGAGTATAACCCGACTTTACCTAATATAAGTAATATCATTAAAAAGTATTGGGATTTACTTAAACTTTCAAGTAAATGTTCTGTGCAAAAGCTTCATGAAAGTAAACCTTTGGTTGCATTTAAAAGACCTAAAAATCTAAAAGAATACCTCAGCGCTTTGATTAAACTACTGAAAGTAGTCTAATATTATAGTTATATAACAATTTCTTTAATTTGTTTACTAAGATTTCAATTTCACACCTTAGAAGATAACTAATAACCTTGCAGCGTTTGCACCATGTTACGTTTCAATATTACTGATTATTGGATCAAATTTTATCAATTTACCTTCGTTTTGAATTCCAGAGTGAAAAAAAAAACGCATACCGTGCCCCAATTAAGCTTAATTTTCATTTTCAAAGTCCAAAACATCTCACATGAAAGAATTCAAAGTCCCTGACTGGATTTAAACCCACAGCGGCGAGGGGCAATTGGTTTGAAGTCAACGGCCTTAACCACTCGGCCAAGAACAACACTGATTCTTTTGTAGTTGTTCATTGCTGTAAAACGTAAGTGTCGAATTCAGCTAGCGCCTCGTCCAAGTTAGGTTCAATTTAATCTCGTTATAAATTTGCAGAGTGCAAAAAGCCATTGTATCGTACCCCCATATAGGTTACTTTTCATTTTCAGTTTTTAAACATCAATAACAGATCTTGTATTGCTCTTGTACTAGCAAAGTTCTGTAAAATTGTCAAAACAAAAATTATGGTGTGATATAAAGAGATCATTATAGTTTGATGAGAACAACACTGATTCTTTTATACTTGTTCATTGCTGCCATACCTATATGTCATATGAGGCTAGCGCCTCGTCCAATTTACGTTTCTCAGCTAGTTCTTCGAATTGAGTATTGTTCTCAACAATGTTTATATACATCATAAATATATGTTTCGTCTATTCAAAACCAGATTTTATGTGAATGAACCACATAAAAACATTGCCTTTTAGTATTAAAGGGACCGACAAGTCACCTTAGACTGCCGAAGTCAGTTTACTTTAAATAATAGATTTTCAACGTCTGGATATTTTTTTTGTTTGTATTTGTGTTTCAGATTACGAGCCTTTTCTTTTAGAAAATACAACAACTGGGACCATACAGGCGATCTCTGGCTGTGTTTCCAATGGCACGAAAGTTTCCTTTAAATGGATAAAGATATGTGTATGTTCCTCTTTACATCATATTGTTTTAATGTTAATACTGTCAATAATGTCATAACAATTTAAATAATTTATATTCATCATCCGTGATTGTGATTTTATCACAGATTGAATATATACTACATTGACTGATAAGATAGTAAGATATGTCAAAAACGGTCAAATGAAAATAATCAAATAGCATACTTAATTAGTATGTTTGGAGTTTAAGTTACCACATATTAAATGAAATAGATGTTATCCGCATTTAAGTGATCAGATTGTACCACTATGATACTTTCAATGTTAAATTTCAATTCTAATATCCCCCCTCCCCCGAAAAAAGAACAAAGTGGTAAGCGCCTGATTGTCCGCTCTGTATCTTTAGAACCAATAGAATGAAATTGAAACTTTTTTGGCAGAAATATGACTTATAATGGAAAAATGTGCAGAACAAAGGCGTGCGGGGATCACAATTTGCCTAACCCCGGATATAACTTGATTAACATGCACAAATTTCATTGATTGAAATTGAAATGTTTAGAGTTTACATATTTAGAATGTAGTGTTGCCTTTTTGGCCTTTACAAAGCTGATATTAATCATGCCCCTTTATTCAATATTGAAGCTGCCCCAGGGGTCACTTGATTTGTGAAACTACGATGCCCTGAGCTTAGAAATTTGGCATGTAGCATCCTTGATGGATCACAAAATAACAGATATTAATAATATTAATTATAAGTCTTATTTTGGTGGAACTACCGTGCTTAGAGTTCCGATATTTGACATATAGCATTGCCTTGTTGGCCTGTACAAAACTGTATTTAATCATGCCTCTTGTGATATTGGCCTCGTTCTTGCGGTAACTTAGTTGATATAGACTTGTATGACAATATACATTTCCGTGTTATTTGGCCAAGAGCTAAAATATTTCACATGAAAAATTATCTTGTGAAACTCTGCAAAACTGATATTAATCATGCCCCCTGGGTCAGTATTCGCCTGCCCGGTGTAACATGATTTATATAAACTTATATTATAAATACAGTAAAGTCTTATTGTGTGAAAGTACAAAGCCTAGGCTTAGGTATTTAGCATGAAGTGTAAGATTTCTACAAAAGTTTTATTAATTCTGACCTTCAAACTTGGCCTTGTCCCGGAAGTCACTAGGACTGTAGACTAAGCTAAAGAAGCTGTAGGAAACCACATATTATATTTCTGTGGATATATACTTCTGTATATATTCTAAATTTGGCTGAAAGCGTTTCCTAGTAGACATCTATAAAAGTTTTGAAAATAATGTAAGGGAACAATGACTCCATTTTGGAGGTTTGATGAATCTTAAAGACAATTAACAAAAAATATTTTTCAGAAAAGTTTCTTAGTTGTGTCTCTACTCTTAAACAGATGCGTCTGAAAAACAACATTCGTTTCTCCATTTTTGATAAACCATATGTCATTTATCTTTTCTAGCTTTTTGAAAATATGTATCGATAAACATTATAAAGCGTAGTCCTAAACATTACTTTGATCATTGTAGGCGACCTCCAGCGTATCCTGAATTGACCGTTTTAATGCCCCTTTTTCCGTCCCCGGTCGGTGCATCTACGGTATCTCCGCGCAGCAGGATACTGTAGGGTTTAGATAGAGATGGTGGGAGGTTGTATGTTGAAGAAATTTAGTGTGATAAAGGCTGCTCTTCCTTCAATATTTTATAGGAGACACATTCCTCACAAATGCCAAAATTTGTTATTTTGGCAAATTTAACTACGGCATATTCTCTTTTTAACCCAAAATGTTTCAATAATCAAATTTGACACATGTGATATGTCTAACTTTCAACTACTATCTGTTCATTTCTTCAATAAACATAAGTTGCTGACATCAGGTTTTGTAACGGTTACTAGAAATTCCCTATATGCATTTATGTTAAGATTATTTATAATCAGAAAATGCCGTCTATTCTTGGTCTGAAGTTTTAATGTAATTGCAAATAAAATAATGCTCTTATCAAGGAAAACTATAAAATAAAACTGATATTTATGACATGTTATGTCTTTCAATTATTTAAGGCACGTAGCAACAGCGAGGAGATTATAACCCCAAAAATCCAAAACGCAAGTACAACACGCTGTTCTTATGATTCGGATTGCGGGAATGATCAACAAATTCAATACTCTGAGGTACTTTCCGCCAAGGCTAGTGACAATGGAAATTATTATCTGAAAATTGTTGCGAATTATGGGAATGAAAAAATAGAGTCGTATCGCACCGATGGAAGATACATACTGGAAGGTAGCGGTAGTATTGACTTTGTTTCTTTCTATAGATTGTTGTGTAATTCAAGTCTTTGTAAACATTGTTTAATAATTAATGCCGAATCTGACATTTTTGTTGTGTATCGTTAAGTATTGTTCAGATGTACATGTCTCTTCTCTTATCGTCTGCTTTTAAATAAGAAAATACATATTTCGCCGATTGATTTTCAAACTTGTGAAAACTGCAAAAAATATACGGATTCTTAATCGATATATTGTTTGGAAGTGTTCTTTCCTGTTTTATCCATTCCATTAAGTTCGCCTTAATTAACTTTGAAACTATATACAGTATTGATCATTTGAATTGAAGAGTCTTATGAGTAAGTTTGTATTTTGTTGTACGAGTATAACTAGAAGAACGATGTTATAATAAGGTATCAATATCCATCCAACCCAGGAGCATTAGATTTGAAATTCTGGTTCCGTGTATCAGCCATACTGATCTTATTTTATTTCCATTGCTTTATGTAACTAAAATTGATCGTATAATGCTAACATTAAATAGTACAAACAAGATTTGCACAGAAACAACCCTTTTCATGATACAATGGACGAAAGCCAATATAGATACATATAATCAGCTCAGAAAATGATCAATTAAAGGGGCGAATGATCTGTGAAAACTGACCATATCTATTAAAGAAAGAATGAATGTTTTCTAAATTTCATAAACAGGTTATTTTAAGTCCACTTTTATCAAGTTGATATATTTGATATTTAAGCCACTGAGGATAAACAATGGGCAAAATCAAGTTTTTATATTTTGTTCCGGATGTGTAAGAGGACTCATGGCTAGCTAGGGGTCTCTGGTTTGATCCTCTTGGAGGCGAAATTGTTCCATGATAATTTTGTTTGGACATTAAGTGTTATGGTCATTTGTCTCTCACCACTTATTAAGAAATCGTGTGGAATTTTGAGAAAAAAATATCGGTAATTACGGGTTCATTATTCAGGAATTCTGGTTCGATGGCCTGACCGCCGAGATATGACAAAATTGTGCTAAAATCGCTAAAAACAGATAACGAAACAAACTGAGATGTGCGCTAAATAATGCTTGATTCAGTATTTACAATTTTTAGGCGGCTTTTCACAATACAGACACTAATAAATTAAAAAGACTTTATTTGCAGAAGAAGAAAAAAGCAACTCTCTAATTGTGGTTCCTGTAGTTCTTGGTTGCCTTGCGACGTTTCTTCTAGCATGTGGTATTGTACGTTATAACAAAAAGTAAGTTTGCTCCTTGAAATTTTTTATAAAATAATTTAACTATTATTAATATAATATAACATTAACATACACATTAGATATTTGATAAATATATATTATAATATTGATAATAAATGTCTTAACAAACGGTTAAAGATGACAAATTTATTTTTGATATTCCCTTAGCCCTGTTTATCTCGATAAATTGTCCGATATACGCACGTGCGCAACCGCGTGAATGTGCCTTGGGATATTTAAATGGTGATGAATTTAATATTTGAAAAAATATATAGAAGATACTGAAGGGGTTTCTGTTCAGTACTGAATTTATTTAACGAATTGAATAAATTATATAATGCGACTGCGAGCCTCTTGCTTTTGTTAAATGATGTTTATAGACTATCCTAAACGGATATTTATCAATGTTTCTTAACAAAAGTAATATTGAATGTGCTAGGGAATATTGAGAAGTGAAAGCAAAAAGAAAGATACTGAATTTATTGATCGAATTGAATAAAATTATATCATGCGAGCCTTTACTATTTTACTAATATTTCCTGCAACGACTTCAGTAAGTAATGAATCATCATGAATATGCAACACCTTTTTTACTGAGCCGCAAAAGCAGCACGGGTACGTGATAAATATTGTTTATTGTCTATATTTCGATATTTATATTCAGGTTAAATAATTGTACTTGGAAGAACGAAAAAGGAAAGAGTGAAGGTAAACGGATTTTGCAAACAAGTTCGTATTGCTTTATTTCACGACTTGCGTGATACTTTTAAAATTGCACAATTTGACTGTTTACACTTACGATTTACTTAGTGAAGTATTGTTTGGCAATAATGACGTGAGACATTTGAATATGACTTTTTGTCTGTAATTGTCGGATCCTGAAGTACATCATACGGATTTTAAAGTATGACATAACGGTATACGAGTACATAGTTTATGTATAACTTAAAGTTACCGAAATAATACTTGCCTAACTAGCCTCGGTGATAAGAAGTTAATACTCTTAGTTTCAAATTGGAGGTTGTATGTTCGAAACTTAATGAAACATTATTTTTTATTTAATTTTTCAATTCTAGTTTGCGAAACTTGACAACTACTATGTTTTTTGCGGATGCCAATCAGCCATTGTTCGACTGTATAAATTGAATTTTTGAAAATTTACATACATATCTATGTATCAAAGTTAATGTTATTTAAAAGAAAAGATGCAAGAAATTAGAGAAATGGTTCATTCAATAATGCCGCATATCATTAAAAACTAACGAAAGAAATCTGAAAAAAAGTTTGTTGATGATTTTAACTTGCCACTTCACGATTTCCATGCTATCATACCAAAAAACAATCAGGACGTTAGTATAAGATAAAGTATCGTGAATTTTTCTATCATTAAAATTCCATTAGTAAATCGTAAAAAAGCACGGAAACTACAGTAACGAAATAGCTTCCGAAAATTAATGAACCTCATTTCAATATTGCCAAACAATGCAGATTAACCACTGATAACACACCTTTGGCAATATAAAGATTAAAGTTCATTTTAAGACTAAAGGACAGCAAATCAATAATTTTATAAAGACAAAGTTAATTAAATAACCTTGAAGTTAGTTTAACGGGTTTCGATATGATGAAAAAAATTACGATTGTCTGAATATGGAATGATTTGATGTTTGATTTATCACATAATTTTCATTATTTGATTTAGATATAATACAGTAATCTAAATGTAGTAACTGATATAAATTAAATTATATTAAATGAACATTAAACTAACAACAATATTAAAATGTCAAATATTGTGCGTTAAATGACTGGGAATATTATGATTGATTCTTGCAATAAATGTTTTATTATATAAAGGTTTTAATTTTAAATCTTCCAGAAATGTGGTGTAATGGAACGGAAGATCTTGCAACAAGTGACCCTGATTCAAACCTAGGTTTGCCAAAGTATGATGAGGAAGTGGTGAGTTCTGATGTAAACGAACTTACAGTCAACGACTATTCTCCACGTCAAGTTGTACCCGAAAGTGAAGAAGAAAATCTTTTATCTAGAGAAAATGATAAGGAAAATGACTTTTTTTCTGTTAACGATTCCACATTAAACGCCCACTGCCCGATTGTCTAGGCCAAGATGTGCCCGAAATTGGAGAAGAAAAAAATCTTTCATCTAAAGAACAAACTGTACTTGATCTTGATCCAGATAGATATGAGCTCGGAAATGATGAAAAACAAATATACCTGCGTGCTAAACAACATGATTTAGATGGTGATATGCTTGAAAATGAAGAAGGAAAAAATTTGTTATCTAAAGGACAAACCATAGTCGATCTTAAAACAGATAGTGAAGAAATGAAGAATACTATTATGCGGAATTTGAAGAAAATGAAGAATACTATTATGCGGAATTTGAAGAAAAAGAAAAATACTATTATGCGATATATGATTCTATCGGCCTTGATAATCTAGATGTAGATGAACATGTGCTAGAAAACGATGGATGGGTAATACTGTAAAAACAAAAAATCCAGGTTCAATTTTTTTCCCTTCAACGTTTTAGTCGTTTACTTTGATAAATATATTCCTAAAATAGTGCTACTCTCTCAGTCACATTTTAAGAATAGATATTTTGAAATGTAAGGGAAGTAATAACGAATCAAAAGCATTTAAATCTTGTAAGAGTAGTCTATCCTGTTTCTTGCATCTTACTATTTTCACATATATTTTTGTTTACTTTATTGACAGATTTATTGTTGACTAATGCCAATATTAATTCAAAAGTGTATATATCAATATATGACTATGAGCTATAATGGCTTTGTCAAAACATAGTTAGTGAATTCTCATGAGATTCTCATATTAAGATATGTTTAGTACCTTTTGTTAGAATTTCCTATATTTCAGTTTTCTGCAATTTTACGTGAAGATGAGCATAGTATATCTTTAATGTTATGTATATGTCTTTTTAAAGCAGGTGCGTAATTATATAATAAGTTTTACACGTTACTGAAGTGATATATGGGAGAATATAGCCTGAATGAGGTAAACATGATCTGATGCGCTAGTCAAGGCTATATATATTCTCCTGTATATCACGTCAGTAACTTGTATAACGAAATTATCATAACGCAATCTGACGACAAGTCCATTAGAAAACACAAAAAGTTAACGTGTATTAAATAACATTTCTATATAAAACAATTGTTTGAATTTAAAAAAAAAACACACACACTTAAGTTGCTTGTATCAAAGAAATATGTTACAAAATTGCCCTGGTACAAATGTATCAAACATGAAATCTATGCTTAACATAATTTGTTCTGTTTTCATATTTTTGTTTGTGATAAACAACAGCTCTTTCGATTACGGAAGCAATATACCTAATCTGTTGACAAACTTAATAAAACAAATTGTAATATATAGCTCTTATACTATTTAAGAATGTTTCAATCTATTCAAAGAAGAAGGGAAATAGGGGTACATAGAGAAGATGACGTTAAACGTTCAACTGCAAAGCAAACGTTACGCAATGAAATGTAATTAAAATACCAAGTCATAATAGCGGTGTAGCTATTTTCTTGCAATTTGAATCTTTAAATATGCCATAAGAACAAAACGAAATAATAAATTTTATACACACACGTACGTAACCGCTTGGAAAAAAACATGTGTGCAGGTATATACGGCGTCGTATACAAACTGTTTAAGCCACTCAAAGTTTGAGAAGTTTATTTGCATTATATATATTATTATTTTCTACGTATTTTATTATACATGTTTATTTCAACTACTTTGTATTATAGAAAACTGCGCCACATATTTAAACATGACTCATTTGATACATATTATTATACATCATAATTACGATGGCCCATCAAGTATTACGCAGACATCATGGTAGCATATATAGAAACAATATTCGGCATAAATAAATGTACATTTCAATATTTATTATTCATAATAAAAACTTTATGCTGATTTTGTTGTCTTTACTAAGACTTTTGACTTTATAGTTTTAGGGTTAACATTACTTAAATGACAATATAAAATCAATGTGAGGTCAAGCATAAAATTTCAAAACATTTAAAGTCATGAATTTACTAAGTGCTGGGCATGAAATAAGTGATTATGTAAAAACATATCTAACAATATTTTCTGTCTCATACATATTAAAAATCTTTCTTCTCTAATTATAATATCAAGATGCAATCTTAAGTCTATTTGAGTCATAAACGTTTTGTGTTTCGATTTCGACATTATTTGTTTTGTAATATTAGTGACAATGACTTATTACAGCAGTGGTTTTGTGCTTTTGGTACAATAGTACTATTTATCGCTCATTTCTTGTCTTTTTCGTTTTCGGACAAGACTGTTTTTTATGGACAAACTTTGAATCAAAACGCCACACATGCTTACGATATTGTTATTCTTTATAAAGTTGTTCTTTGTTGTTGTTTTTGTTTCTTTTCCCTATACATCCACTATACATCAAAAATGTTAATTGTTCTTAATCTCAATACCGTTACAAGATGATTGTACATGTTGTATTATTTTATGATCTGCTCTTCATAGCTGGAGGAAATAAAAGAAATGAACCACGCTTAAGAGGTAAGATTACTTAGGGGTTACTTTTGTTCGCGGCGTAGTTGTCGGCGTCCCCTATAGCTTGTCCGGTGCATAACTCAGTCACTCTAAGTCGGGTTGACTCCAAACTTGGTATGCGTGCTTCTTTCAATGACCCAAAGTGCAGTGCAGGAGAATCGTTACTCTGCGCTTCTAAGTTTTTAAGTTATTGCCCTTTGTTTTTGTCCGGGCCATTTCTTCTAAACTATAAAAGCTATGGACTTGAAACTCTATAGGATGATAGATTAATAAAAAGTGCAGTGCACAAAACCAGCACTATGTTCGTCTTATTTTTTTGAGTAATTGCCCTTTGTTAATTTTCATACTAATTTTTGTCCAGGCCATTTCTCTTTAACTATGAAAGCTATGGACATGAAACTTCATGGGAAGATAGATCTCACTGAGGAACAGTGCAATGTTCAAAAACCGGTACTCGGTACTTGATGATTTTTGAGTAATTGCCCTTTCTTAATTTTCTTACTTTATTTTTGTCCGGGCCGTTTCTCCTCAACTATAAAAGTTTTTGACTTGAAACTTCATAGGGTGATAGATCTTATTGAGAAGAACTGTGCACAAAAACTGGTACACTCTGCACTTCTTATTTTTTTAGTTATTGCCTTTTGTTAATTTTCATATTTCATTCTTGTCCAGACCATTTCTCCTAAACTATAAAAGATATGGACATGAAACTTCATGGGATGATAGATCTCATTGAGAAGAAGTGCAGTGCACAAAAACCGGCACTCTGTACCGCATGATTTTAGAGTTATTCCCCTTAGTTGATTATAATTCTTTATTTTTATTCCAAGGTCAAGGTCACACTTGGAGGTCAAAGATTAACATAGGGTTTATTCTGTGTCCGGTCCATAACTTTTTCATAGATCAAAGGATCGAAAATACTTGGCACAAATAGTCACTATGTCATGCGTTGTGTCATGCGCAGCACCTGCCTCCCTACCTCCAAGGTCAAGGTCACACTAAGAGGTAAAAAAACATGGTCTGTTAAAGGGTATATTTTGTGTCCGATCTTCATAGTTAAAGGGATTTTGAAATAACTTGGCACAAAAAACATGTATGATAAAACTTGGCACAAATAGAGACGATATGTCATGCACTACACCTGCATCCCTACCTCCAAGGTCAAGGTCACACTTAGAGGTCAAAGCTTAACATGATAGATTTTTAAATTCTGTGTTTCATTTCTTTAATAAATTTATTGTTGCATTTGCAGATCTAGCATTGATCATAATTTTGGACTGAAAGTAAATCCTGAGATCCATACCTCAATCTTTTGAAATAGCACAATTTTATGCTTCATATAAAACTTCCCTGAGGCGGGGGACGTTAGTAATTCTGTTACAAATTCTTGTTTATTTAGAGGTAACACTTCCAATGTTTGTAGTCTATGTAAGTTTATGTTAAATGAGGGTCCATCCGCCCGGTAAGGCACAAAAAGCAGCTTTTAATTCGCTGTCGAGTACGGACCCCGATCATGTCACCAGTTATTAAAGAAGCACGAAGTGGTGATAATTTACCTGCATGCAATTTCCACGGGGTATTAGCAAAATATATGAATTTTGGCTGTTTCCAAGGAAATGCTGACAGATTGTTATTATGAATGAAGAACAATTGACTGCAGGGTTTATCGATGTATGCAACATATACCCGCTTCATATATCATCGTGTCGCTTTTTGCGAATGGATATAAACGGGTAATTTCTACAAAGGGGGAGTACTTTGAGGGACTGACAGAAATAAGAAGATTTTTAAACACTTACTGTAAGCTCCGTAAGGCTGTTTTATTAATTCACAAAATACCCCTCGTATACATATATTTACATGTTTATATGTATATACTAAAACACTTTAACCCCCCCCCCCAAAAGCTAAGATTATTATTAGATAATTAGACCTTTTTTTAAGATATTTAGCGTTGTTTATGGGACTTTTACCAAGTTTGCTCAAATAATAACGCAGAGATAAAATTTGTCCCGCTCTGGAGGTCCCAAGTTTTCTTTTAATGTATAATTTTAAAAGTAAAAACTTAAAAATCATCTTCTCAGTAAACGAAGAGCTATATCTTAGATATTGACATAAAACATCATCTTATTGATCCCTACCAAGTTTGGTCAAATGAAATACTTGGCACTTTCCCGGGGGTCATGAGCATTCTATTATATGAATAATATTAGTAAACATAAAAAATCGTTTCTTTTTTTCTAAAAATCAAGGTAGCTAGAACTTTGCTATTTGACATGAATTAGCATGTAATCGAAGTTTGTTCAAATTGTGACCTTGGAGTCTAAATTGGGCTTTCTTTGATGTGGATGATGAGCTGCAATTTTTTATAGTAGGAACTTCTTTCTCTGAAAGCGCAATGGCTAGATACGGCTTAGATATTTGACATGTAACAGTATCATGTAGACCATGGATGAACTTTATACCAAAATAGCCTTTCTCTTGGAACACTGATGTCTAATTTGACCCCCTCCCGAGAGTCATAAGACTTACGTTCATGCTCGAAAACATGTATTCTTTTAAATATTCAATGCAGCGGTTTAAACCAAATCACAGTGGTGTAGAAACGGTATTTTCTATACGGATTAGATACAGAAATACGGTTGTAATCCAAAATTTCTAAATAGTTTATATATTTATCTATTTAAATTTGATATAGTTCGCCTCCTAATTAACTTAGAGGTCAAATGTTTTCATTGTGTAATATTCCTACTATTAATATTTTGTTATAAAAGCATGCCGTTAATGGGTGCATGGAAGTGTTCAGTTATGAATTTTTGAAGAACAAAAATAATGACAAATACGATATATGGTCTGAACATGCTGAAACTGAATTAGTAAGTTATACAAGTTGGAGGTTAGCTAGTTTAAAATGTATTTTATCATATAAATGTAACTAAATGTAACATTGTTACCCCAAAATATAAATGATCATCTTCTAGTTATGACCAATATGTGAAATATGAAAACTTGGTAACTAGTCGGTGTCCCGAGAAGACTTTCCGACTTTTTAGGTTCCTAAGACTTTGACCTTTGACATAAATACCCCAAATCCATTAGGGGACATTTAGTAGATAAAGCTAATCAATTTGTGAAATATAAAGATTTAGCGATAAATGTTTTTCAAGATAATGAGCGGAAACCATTCTGACATTTGAGGTCCCTTTGACCGTGATCTTTAAATTAGTGACCCCAAAATCAATAAGAGTCATTTACTCTATATGACAAATCAGTATGTGAAATATAAAGAATTCGTGATAAAGATAAATAGTTTTCAAGTTAATGAGCGGAAACAATTCTGATAGACATATATTTTATTTAGTTGATTTTCAATGTGATTTCACTTTCACTTATACACATCATACATGTTATCTAAGAGAATATCAACTTCTGTGTCATACCTAATCCCCTTAATTTAAATTTTCACAACTGCGCATATCTTAAACAGACATTCATTATTCAGCTCACGTTTCAAAACACTTTTTGTACAACCAGAAAATAAACTTCATTTGAAATTTAAGATAAACAAATCTAATTGCACAAAAGTCGGACAGTTACCTGATAAAAAAGCTAAATTCAAATTAGAATTTAATTACACTGTCCTGGGTCTTTCAAATTTTGAAAGACCGTGGAAGCACTTACTACTGAAAATATTAGACGTTTCACGTTGATTAATTTACAATGTTATCAATGGATAGGTGTATATTTCTTTGTTTCCTCTGGATTTATGCAGTTTTTGGTAAGATTATAAATAATCAACTCGGTAAAAGATTAATTTGAAAATGTCAGTTACATTACATTTAACACTACGAAAAGTGGTTCCGTTTTTCATCTTTGAATTTGAGTAAAATTGTTTTCTGATTAGCGTTTTACTATTTCATGTTTAAAAATAAAGGTACAGTAAAATATTTCCAAGAACTGTTTTATGACCGAGTGAAACATGTACCGATATTTTACTGCTCCTTTTACTTCTGAACACCTCGCCAATTATTCCTTATTATAGCTTATCCGGAGACTGATGGAAATAGCCAATAAGTTGCCATGGTTCGCAGGTCAGGTATTATTATTTCCCCGCCATTTGAATAATCTTACACAGCTGCAAAAGACCTCTCGTATGCTTTTTATAGAAGCACACTTGTGTAAACTTGGTCGGACAGTAACTGACTCATGTCAGTCAGAACCGTTAAACTGTTAATCAAAATATTTCCATACTTAAAGCTAGTTCTAATTGTTCTTTTGATCTGGTCGGAAGATCGCTACTGTGCCGTAGATAGGAGATATTGCCAATACGCAAAACTGTGCAATATATTAGCTCGTAGTACGGTTTGCTGGACTGGGGGGGGGGGGGGGTGATACAGTCCAGAATCGCAGGCCTTAATCCGTTGGTGATGTCTAATGTCGTTTTAAGATGTATTGTTTTTGTGTACTTTGTTCTTCGTAATTCTAAAGTAACGAGTGAGTATAAAAAATAGTCACAGATAATATATATGCCAAAATCTCAAAAGTGGCGAGAATAGGGTAATGAACGAGACGTGCCAACATATGACAGATATTATTACTTTTATCGAAGGGAGAAAAAATTACAGCTGCATATACATGTAGTCCATAACCAGTGTTTATCGGTAGTTTAACATCCGTTTTGTATCCTAGTTTGGGGACCTTTCTGTTGAAAATGTGTCAATACATATACATGCACAGTGCGTTAACTGGAGTGCAGGTATTAGTTACCCATTGATTGGCTCTTTTTTGCTGGGGTTTACATATTGTGACGGCAGAGAAAGGTAAAGCGACAGAAAGATCATATTCAGATGTTCGTTCATTGGTTCCTTTTTGCCGGGGTTTCATATTGTGACAACAGGGATCATGTTTTTATGTTTGACTATGATACAAAAGAGAAAGAACATCAAAACACTCGGCAATCTGATTTATACTCGGGGGGGCTACGCCCACTCGTACAAATCAGATAGCCTCGTGTTTCGATGCTCTTTCTATTATTTTCTTCTTTGTGTATAATGATAAAAAATAAGGAGGCTTTAGAATTATACATAAACAAGAATCTTTCAAACAGCCTGTCCTTACATTTGTTTACCTGAAATTGAGGAAAATTAAGGTTAAACTAGTTTACAAGACTGATATAATGTAAAAGGGAAGTCAGTTTTGTACGTGCTTATACATATGTACATTGAAAAACAGACATGTTGAAATTTTCGACATTGACATTATGACCTTAAATTATTTTTATTAAATTTGGTACAGACAAATGATGATTTCCTTGAAATAAAAGTCGGCTGTGGTTCCGTTCGGTGTTGGTTCTTCTAATCATTTTTTGCATTGAAACAATCTATTTTTCAACCTCACGGAAGGAATAGCCTTTTCTGAAATGTTAGTGTAAAGAATATAAAGCACGAAATTTAGACTTTAAACGACTTATTTAAAGAAGGGGGGGGGGGGTGGGCTTTCAATTGTGTTTCTTTAAATTATTTAAAGCTGTTTTTGGTGCAGATGAATTTATCACTCTTTTGAAAATTCTCTCTCAATATTAACTGCTTCAACTGGAAAAACAATAATGAACAAGGTTAGTCCTTTATGTGTGTTTTAAATCATCGTACTGCTATGTTACTTGGTGTTGATTTCAATTTTGTTTGTGTATCAGAGATTAAATAATCTGTTATTTCAAAACTTTTCCAATTGCTTATCTTTACAATTCACTTAATGATTGATAATCTTCATACGATTGCATTATTGATAACTTTCATGTTCATGATATTTTTTATTTTCAGATTTCAGTTTTTTACTGCACAAATTATTTATGCATATACATACGGAAGCGTCCTGGTGCCAAATTAATGTGTTCTATAAAAATTGAAAACTCCTACGTAGGAGATAGAAAAGCCTAATTAGGAGTTTATAACTCCTACGTAGGACTTTATAAGTCCTAATCAGGAGTTTATAACTCCTACGTAGTACTTTATAAGTCCTACGTAGGAGATAAAAAAGTCTGTTTGGAGTTTATAACTCCTTTTAAACTCCTACGTAGGACTTTTTAACTCCTACGTAGGACTTTGTAACTCCTACGTAGGAGATAAAAAAAGCCTAATAAGAGTTTATAACTCCTACGTAGGACTTTTAAACTCATACGTAGGACTTTTTAACTCCTACGTAGGACCTTGTAACTCCTATGTAGGACTTTGTTACTCCTATGTAGGAGATAAAAAAGCCTAATTAGGAGTTTATAGCTCATACGTAGGATTTATAACTCCTACGTAGAGGAACACTTATAAAGTCCAACGTAGGAGTTACAAACTCCTACGTAGGACTTTTAAAGCACTACGTACGACTTTAAAACTCCTAATTAGGTTTTTTTTTATCTCCTACGTAGGCGTTTTAAAGTCCTACGTTGGAGTTATAAAGTCCTAATTAGGCTTTTTAAACTCCTACGTAGGAGTTATAAAGTCCTACGTAGCAGTATGTAATAAAGTCCTATGTAGGACAAATAAAGTCCTACGTAGGACTTATAAAGTCATAAGTAGGAGTTATAAACTCCTAGTTAGGCTTTTTTTATCTCCTACGTAGGAGTTATAAAGTCCTACTTAGGAGTTTAAAAGTCCTACGTAGAAACTATCTTTTTTTAAAGAACATGTTAAATTTGCAATAGGACGTATATACATACTACATATAGAGATATACATTTAAAGAAGAACACTTTTTTAAAGGTTCTACAAAAATCATGAAAAGGTAATTCAATAGTATCTTTCCAATATTGTAAAACGTTATTAATGTCAGACCTATTTTTAATGGAGCATCAGAAAAAAGATTCCTATTCAGAGGAAATTACATAACATTATCAGAGAACTTCTTTAAGATAAAGGACAACTTCTAATATAACGTCGATAATTAATTTGCTTCCAGGTTCTGGCGCTAAGCGGTCGCCCTCTGTCGGTGCCCGTGACCCGCTCTGAAGACCCTGTCAGGCTGGGAGTTTGACTGGGGCGGTACATTAATCTGTCAAACGGTAACGGCCATATGCTCAAGGGAAACAACTCTTCCTTCAACATTGATGTTCAAATTAGAATTGTACCTCTTGTTATGAATACTTTATAAGGAAAATATTAAAATAAACCAAAAAAAAAAACCAAAGGTCATAAAAGGTTTTCTAGAGAAAAAGAAAGTGGATGCAGTACCAGTGGATCAAGCCTTAATTAATGATCCTAAAATATTTAGTCTTGACAAGGCAGGAAAAAGACATATTCGCCCCATAAATTTTGAAACCGTAAATCCCTAGTTTTCTATATATGTTTTTTAACTTCTTTTGCAATACATTATTGTGTTCTCAAAATAAGAGTGACATAACTTTTAAATAGTTTGACACTTGGATCTGAGATCTTTGATTTGCATTGATGAAGATTTAAGTGTGCATTGCCTAGAATAATATCTGTTAAAATTCAACTGCGTGTTGGTATTTGTACATTTTGAATTTATCCATGATTTAATATCTGCCCAGTATCATGTGGTTAACTTTATACTGAAACATTTTCTCTAGAAGTAGAGTATGTATTTGCTCTAAGAATGTAATAATAAATTTGTCTTCATTCCTGCGTTTGAATATTAGTTAATGAGCGGAAACAATTCTGATAGACATATATTTTATTTAGTTGAGTTTCAATGTGATTTCACTTTCACTTATACACATCATACATGTTATCTAAGAGAATATCAACTTCTGTGTCATACCTAATCCCCTTAATTTAAATTTTCACAACTGCGCATATCTTAAACAGACATTCATTATTCAGCTCACGTTTCAAAACACTTTTTGTACAACCAGAAAATAAACTTCATTTGAAATTTAAGATAAACAAATCTAATTGCACAAAAGTCGGACAGTTACCTGATAAAAAAGCTAAATTCAAATTAGAATTTAATTACACTGTCCTGGGTCTTTCAAATTTTGAAAGACCCTGGAAGCACTAACTACTGATAATATTAGACGTTTCACGTTGATTAATTTTACAGTGGTATCAATGGAAAGGTGTATATTTCTTTGTTTCCTCTGGATTTATGCAGTTTTTGGTAAGATTATAAATAATCAACTCGGTAAAAGATTAATTTGAAAATGTCAGTTACATTACATTTAACACTACGAAAAGTGGTTCCGTTTTTCATCTTTGAACTTGAGTAAAATTGTTTTCTGATTAGCGTTTCACTATTTCATGTTTAAAAATAAAGGTACAGTAAAATATTTCCAAGAACTGTTTTATGACCGAGTGAAACATGTACCGATATTTTACTGCTCCTTTTACTTCTGAACACCTCGCCAATTATTCCTTATTATAGCTTATCCGGAGACTGATGGAAATAGCCAATAAGTTGCCATGGTTCGCAGGTCAGGTATTATTATTTCCCCGCCATTTGAATAATCTTACACAGCTGCAAAAGACCTCTCGTATGCTTTTTATAGAAGCACACTTGTGTAAACTTGGTCGGACAGTAACTGACTCATGTCAGTCAGAACCGTTAAACTGTTAATCAAAATATTTCCATACGTAAAGCTAGTTCTAATTGTTCTTTTGATCTGGTCGGAAGATCGCTACTGTGCCGTAGATAGGAGATATTGCCAATACGCAAAACTGTGCAATATATTAGCTCGTAGTACGGTTTGCTGGACTGGGGGGGGGGGGGGGGTGATACAGTCCAGAATCGCAGGCCTTAATCCGTTGGTGATGTCTAATGTCGTTTTAA